GGGAGAGTTAAAACATAATGTATTGAAATCAAAATTCTGTGTATATAATTAATGAGCATTTAGTTCCACGATTTAATTAAATAAGATTTATGGATAACATTGAAGCCAGAGCGAGAGCAAGTCAGTTAAATATATACATATAGCATGTACTCAGTTGCAGAGTCCAAAGACTCTCAAAAAAGAAAAACTCGTATCGTCGCTTGCTTTGGCTGTGCGTTCAGATATATACAGCTATATAGCCGACATTTCCACTCCTCTCCTCGTAGGCGCACATTCGGTATACCCCTTCCACGCGTCTCCAAAATATGCGCCTATATGGACATTTCCACGCGAATCCACTCTTCTCATACCCCTACCGTGCTGCTCAAATAAAAAAAAAAATGTGTGCCTGGTTCGGCCGCTTCGCCGCGGCGGGGCGCTCGAACCACTGGAAAAAAGTGGGCACACTCCGTAGCATGGCAGTCAGCAATCTCCCTACTAATCTCTGCTTTCCGCTAACAATTGTAACCGCGGCCTTGTTCTCCTTCTGTCGTCCGTGAATAAATATTGTTAATATGTTTGAGGTTGATGATTGGAATATGAATGAGGTATATACAGCACTTTGTACTCTATAGGCTAACTATTTGTTATTACATTGATATTTAGTTATATTTAATTATCTTTGTTAAGTAGCAGGACTCGATTATGGAACTCAATTATAGTGTACATAACGAAGTAGTACAACATGACAGACAAAACGAAAGAATTGAGGTAAAAAATACTTTGGATCAAGAGTCCAAAAATGAAGATACTTTTTCAACCCATCGTCAAGATATGGTTCTTGATATATTTAGAAACAAAGACTTCATGCATACAAATACTAAAATCTCGCTAAATCTAGATAATAATTCAGTGCAAAAGCTGTCTAATGACTCAAATGAATTTTTTCCTGATTCTTGTAATAAGACAGAAGTAAATATTAAGATAACTAAGCCAATTTTCAGGTCAGCTTACAAAATAAGAGAAAATAATGTTGGCATAGTCGACCACTTCCCATGCAAAAAAAGTGTAGTATTTGCAGAGCCAGTAGAACCAACTGTTTTAAAAGAGCTTTTAGTACGCGAAAATCGACCAATTTTAAAAAAAAACAGCAAACATGCTCACAACAGTAACTTTACATGCATGAATAATACCCATATGTCACAGTTACCTATTCAGAAAAGCAAGAAATCTATATCATTAAAAAAAAATGTGGTTAGAATGTTTCCTGGTCCTGCTGGTCTTTTAGTTGATACTAAATTAATCCAAGCTCCAGTTGTTGATGTTGACAAACGCGAAAATAAAAATAAAAAACACAGTAATGTATGTTCTCAAAATACTGAAAACTTATTTACTACAGGGGCTTGGCAGATTATGATGGATGATTTCCCACCTTACTTTGAACTCCAAGATATTGCAACTGTCCAAGAAAACGCTTCTGAGTTAAGTAAAAAATTTAAAAAAGTACCTTACCTTGCAGGACTCATTCATACCATCGATTACAAACCAAATAATCCACACATTGTTCTTAAAGATATTTCAGGCAAAATTAATGCTTGTATTCACCACAGTGTATGTAAAAACTATCCTAATGCACTTGGAACAAACGTAGTTCTTCTAATTAAAGATGTTAGTCTCATTGTGACAAGTAAGAAGTTTGTATGCATCATTATTACAATGAAGAACTTAGTGAGCATTTACTCTGAAGACTGTCGATTAGCCGAAACACAGAATCTCAAATTATTATTAAGTAGCAAATTTAATAGCGATGTACCACTACCCAAAGTTACTTTGGTAAATAAAAATAACAGAGGTATAAGTGAAGTTTCTTCTCCAAGTGTACGACATACTGACATCAAGAGTAAACTTTGTTTGAAACGTAACAATATGAAATCATTAAGAAAAGTTTCAAGTTATAAAAATTCATCTAACTACTTAAACAATAGCGATATTAATGATTCCAACGACTTTCCAAATAGTAAGAAACATAATCAAACAGTTGATTTACAAAACGTTTTTCAAGATGATTCTTTGTTTGAAGTAGACATTGTTGACCTTAATTTTTTCACCACTAATCAATTTCCTTCGTCAACTCCAACGATTATAAATAAAAGAAATTTATGTAAATATTTTAAAAATAAAGTAGGAAAAAAATAATAGCTTGCATTTAAAATAAGTGTCTAATCATTTATTTACTGATGTTCCCTATCAAAACGTTTAAAAAATTATGAGAGTGTGATCCTGATACAAACTTAAACATAACAGTTGGAAAATGGAATGGAGATATTTGTCATAGATTCTTGGGAAGCTTAGAATTCTTTAAGAATAAGAAAAACCTATTATTTTATACAACACTAAAAGTGTAATTTATTATATAATTCAGTCAACAGTCGTAGGAATCAATCTTCGTGAAAGCGCAAGTACATCATGTGTGAGTTTCAAGAGAGTGGTATTGGCCAGGTGCATGTCATGCAGCGACACTCTTGCTGTCAAAATTGTGCAATCGCGGGTACCTACATTATACGTCAACAGCATACACTGGTGCACACTTTTAGTAATAATCAATTAATTAGCAAAAAATTAGTATGTTTATTTATCTGATAATGTATGTTATCTGCATAAAAGCAGGCTTTAGGAATATCACACACTCGATTTGTTTTAATTTTGAAGCCTTAAAAAAAGGTAAACTGTTGGTTAAAAGTGGCCATGTGTCCAATGTTACAGAATTTCAAAGTGATGGAGTTAACAAGTTGACAAGTGCCATCGTAATAAAGCAGATCTCGATAACTTCAGCTCCATACAAAGTTAACCGGCATGTACGTTTTATTCAGATTATTTTGAAAATTGTCTAAGTTGCAAAGCACATAAAAATTACCTTTATTTACAGTAGAATAATCATCGAAATTTATGTAATTTTACTCCATCTGTCTTTGCGCTACTGTTACACAGAACAACACAGCACTTTCTTACACCCATGCATATTTCATAAACGTTTAAATAATAGAAATCACAATGATCATGTCTTGTTTCGCGTATTTATCTTTCTTTTTGCCGTCTGCTTCTGAGAGTGTGCTCTGGATCGAAAACTAAGGAGGCTTCATTAATATATTGTTACATTCAAATATTTTACAACCGTTCTTGGCACAGCATAGTTCATTTTTTTACATTTGTGTAACTGCAATTGCATAATATTGATACTATTTATGCATACGTGATGATAACATCTGTAAATTTGACGATATACTGTTATTCTTTCAGGTAAGCAAAAATGACGGTAATTTGGTACCCCAGTTTTCCTGTTTTTCCCACTACGTACGCTGGCGTCGACTCGTCTATCCCCTCCCTGCTCTCCCATCACTTGCACTTGGCGAATATTCGCTCCGTGCATGACACGCAGCGCCGCCCTCGGTGTCAGAATCGCGCAATACCGTACCCCCGTATGATTAAATCGTAACACTGTCGCTTATAGGAGAAAGTATTATTTATTGAATAAGACGTACATACTGCTATCGCGTAAACATCAGCACCCTAAAAAATGGATATGATTATCCAAACAGGCTTTAAAAGTATAAGTCGCAACATAGTTTTTAATAATGAAACGCTGAAAAAAGCTAAAAAATTAGTAGAGAGTGGTCACGTTGCCTACGTACAGGACTATGTAAATAAAGGAGTCGGTCATCTGATCAATTGCTATGTTGTGAGACAAACATCTCTCAGCTTAAATCCTTACAAAGTAGAATTATCTGTAATTACATTATTGCCTATGATTGACAAATGTAGGTTATGGTAACATTTACATAAATGTGTAATTTACTTATCAGATTAACAAAGACCGCTGTATCTCCGACGTATGGGGTCTACTTGGGAATTTATACAGCACCACCCCCTGCTTTTCTTTCTTGCATAACAACGCAGCACTGTCTCGTTCGCATTTCGTTACTTTGTAAACGTAAACACTGATTCAGATTATACAGCTAGCGGCAGCCTATGTCGACTGCTTGGAATTCTTGCTCTCACGTATACAACATTACAGATAAGTATGTGTGTTGTGTACTATATGACAGATGATATTTAATAACCCATTATTTAAAATTTCGGGCGATTTGAAGTGCCTAGCAAAATTATTTATCCGTATCATAGACCCGGTTTGGCTAAATAACATTTTTTTCCGCCTTCGATTTCTCAACTAATTACTTTAAATGAAATAATATCTTTTCTCATATAAGCCAACGCTTACTGTAAGATTCATGGGGGTACGGGTTCGCCAACTTTGCTCACCTACAGCGCTGCGGTCGTTTTTTTATCCCCTCCAACCTGATGCACGGAGCAAATACAGAAGGTTTAGGTACAGTGTAGCAGATGAGCCGCCATATTTAGGATTATCTTTAGGAACTGTATATATATGAATATTACTCATTGATATATTATGTTACTCAAACTTCTAAAGCTCACATAAACATGATTCCGAGCCAGTGGTTGTCAAGTCAGTGATCACTTTATCTATTATTAAATTAATTAAATAACGCAAACGCCAATCGCTGCATAACCTGGGAAAGTGCCTATAGCCAATCGCTATGATAATAAATTACAATAAAAAATATTGTTTTATTTATTAATAAACTACAGTAAACAATAACGCAATTGTCAATGACCGTTCGACTCAGGACGCTTACAGGTTGCTTTGTTAATAAATAAATTAACACAATCATCAATCACCGCACCACCCGGGGTGCTCACTGGTTGTTCTGTTAATTAATAAAATAATGTAAGCGCCAATTACCACCCCGGTTTATAGTGACTTATAAAAACTTGTAAAATCTGATAAAAGTTAGATTGGTTGTACCAGAAAAAAAATTT